TTATTTTCTCAATAACTAGAGACTGCAGCACCCTGGGACTAGTCTAGATTATTGCATTAGGTCATCTGGTATCCTTCTAAGCCCACCCACACACCCAGATTTGCCGTAGGGGCCGAGGGATGAATTTTTTAATATTCCTCGTTTTCAAGAGCAAATTTAACGATTATTTTCTGAATAACTAGAGACTGCAGCGCCCTGGGTCTAGTTTGGATTATTGCGTTAGGTCCTCTGGTATCTTTCTAGCCCACTAGCACCCCCAGATTTGATGTAGGGGCCGAAGGGTGAATTTTTTAATATTACTCGTTTTCAATATCAAATTTAAACTTTATTTTCTCAATAACTAGAGACTGCAGCACCCTGGGACTAGTCTAGATTATTGCATTAGGTCATCTGGTATCCTTCTAAGCCCACCCACACACCCAGATTTGCCGTAGGGGCCGAGGGATGAATTTTTTAATATTCCTCGTTTTCAAGAGCAAATTTAACGATTATTTTCTGAATAACTAGAGACTGCAGCGCCCTGGGTCTAGTTTGGATTATTGCGTTAGGTCCTCTGGTATCTTTCTAGCCCACTAGCACCCCCAGATTTGATGTAGGGGCCGAAGGGTGAATTTTTTAATATTACTCGTTTTCAATATCAAATTTAAACTTTATTTTCTCAATAACTAGAGACTGCAGCACCCTGGGACTAGTCTAGATTATTGCATTAGGTCATCTGGTATCCTTCTAAGCCCACCCACACACCCAGATTTGCCGTAGGGGCCGAGGGATGAATTTTTTAATATTCCTCGTTTTCAAGAGCAAATTTAACGATTATTTTCTGAATAACTAGAGACTGCAGCGCCCTGGGACTAGTTTGGATTATTGCGTTAGGTCCTCTGGTATCTTTCTAGCCCACTAGCACCCCCAGATTTGATGTAGGGGCCGAAGGGTGAATTTTTTAATATTACTCGTTTTCAATATCAAATTTAAACTTTGTTTTCTCAATAACTAGAGACTGCAGCACCCTGGGACTAGTCTAGATTATTGCATTAGGTCATCTGGTATCCTTCTAAGCCCACCCACACACCCAGATTTGCCGTAGGGGCCGAGGGATGAATTTTTTAATATTCCTCGTTTTCAAGAGCAAATTTAACGATTATTTTCTGAATAACTAGAGACTGCAGCGGCCTGGGACTAGTTTGGATTATTGCATTAGGTCCTCTGGTATCCTTGTAGCCCACCCACACACCCAGATTTGCAAATGTTTTAAACACAACGATTGTTTACACTATGCACAAGTTATAACAGCTATATCTCCACAGATATCGCACGTAGGTTTTTCATTAGAAAAGCAAACCTCCACAGGATTTTCAAACTGTTCTGGTCTCTCCTCTATATAGCCAAATGCAAACCAGGCGTATTTAAAAACATTAATAAATCGTGGGGAAGACAACTGGTTATGCGTTAAGGATTGCAATTTTAAAATATCTCGCTGATGCAAATTGACATCGTACTGGTAGAGAATAACTTGATCAGAAAATCTTCTAATGAAATAGAGAGATATCTAACCTATAAAAAAATCATCGTGGGAAATTGCACCAAAATCAACAAACAATTTTCGCAAAAAAAAAAAAAATTTTTGTGTGGTTAGGGTAGTTAACCCCAGCCACCCCTTAATGTCGTATAGGGTTTATTTTACTGCGTAAATCTTAATTTACATCTAATTAATGGTTTTCTTCAAAATATTGTTCAAAAGTGTAACAGTTTATCACATTATTCTTAAGGAAAGGGATTATTTATCATACCCCGTAACGTTGCAGGGGATGGTCAGAGGCAAATAAGAAAAAACATGTCATTAATACTTTTAAACGTACTATAAGGATACATAATACCGCCAAAATCGACAGGGTAGTTTTTAAAATATTCCAAAAAACTAGGGGTAGTTTACCCCCTGAAGCCCTCAGATATATGTGTGATATATCAATGGAAAGCTCTTTGAAAATGAATATCAGTTTACATTTACTACATTTCGATAACTATTTTCGTTTTCAACCTATAAGCGAATATATATATTTCGCCCCGATTTCCAACCCTTATAACTCGCCCAGGGGCTTTATTAGCACGTATAAAAAAATACATAAACCTTATTTTTGGCCATACTATCGCTGTACGAAATTTCAACAAAATCGGTGAGGGACAGTTCTGATACTTCCCTTGTTAGTAATGAAACTTGAACGATATGGATTCAAGGGACCAGCCAACGATATTATAACATTTTATTTAAATACTAGGTCACACTCTACTAAAGTCATAAGCTTAAAAAGTAAGACTGTAATTTCTACTAATAAAACTACACTCTACGGTATCTCACAGGGTAGTATACTGGGACCGCTTTTGTTCGTTATCTTTATAAATGACCTTCTACTCTTCGGCCTGAATTGTCACAAAACGAATTATGCTGATGACACCAGCCTTGTAATTACTAGTTCAACACTTAATGAAATGATCCATAAAACGTGTACTAATGTGTGAATTGTGGAAAATTGGTTCAGCCGCAATAAGTTAACTATGAATGGGTTTATATGAACGTGTGTGACTATGTTCAATTAGTTTCAATTTTTATTTATGTCTTTTTCTGTCTTAACCCTTTCGCGACTCCTGGTACACATATGCACCACTAAGTTAAAAGTCGCGAAAGGGTTAAATAACACTAAAATTTGTTCGATAATCTGGTGAAGGTTTTCAATGACGGAACTTTACAGTTCGCTAAATATACCACCAAACCTCTACGTGGCATTTTTACCAGCTTGAAAGATCGACCCGATGGTCTGAAAACCAACTTGATGTGTAAGATCAACTGTCAGGGTTGTTCCGGCTCCTACGTGGGTATGACCAGCCAATATCTTAAGAGGAGACTCGACCAACACCGTAGAGACTGCAGATTAAAAAAGTTGAATGCCACGGCCCTTGTGGAACACCATCTTACCACGGGACATACCTTCGATTTCGACAACTCCTCCATAGTATGTTTTAAACCCTCATACTATAAACGGCGTTTTCTTAAGATGTTCCACATCCTGAGTGAGCCTAATTCTGTAAATTTTCGCACTGATGTGCAAAATGTTAGCGACATTTATTGCAATTTGGTTAAGTTACATGTTGCTCGTCCCCCACCTCTCGACGATTCGTCTTTCGGGGAGGTTTGGTTTTGACCTTGGTTGGTATTCAAGTTTCCCGCCTTGTGGTTGGGGAATTGCCTTTTTTCCGCTTCTGTTGGGTTAGTATGGCTCTCGGCTGTTAATTGTCATGAATGTCACCTGTTGTTCTTGGTGTTGTGGTTTTGTTCTCGAATTTGATTGTTCCTATGCCATCGTGCTGGATTTTTGGTTTTGCGGCGGTTTTTTGGGCCGTTTACTGTCTGGCCACCTGTTTGACTTATTGGTTTTTGTATTTTTGCGACTTATAACCTCTATCTGTAAGTTAAGAAGTTAAGTTTTTTATTGTATAATTTGTTTGATTTGTTTCTTTTATTTTAAATAAAAAAGCGTTCCTCTGATGAAGAATTAAAAATAAAAATTCAAAAGCTAAGGTACTAGTAAAGGCGGTTTTTATTCACCCCACGGTTGATGATCCCAGTATTTGGCTCCGTACTAAAATTTGTGTTATTGCCTGTAATCAAGTGAAGATATTGGGACTGCAACCAATTTTGGGGGAAATTAAAAAACCTCCTTTAATCAATCCAAGCTTTCGATTGTAATTTCAATCATCATCAGGGAGTACTACAAACAATAAACGGAACAAAACGGTCAAAAATAAACCAAAAGGGGACGAAAGGCTCACACGAGCAATCGCTACTTACATTGAGAGGCTAAGAACGTCTAAAGAACGTTGATGTTAATGAAACCCCATATAAAAACATAACTTATCTACCAAACGGCAGTTGTTACTCAAAAGCGACGACGAAGAACACAAGAAACCTTAACAACGACGCCAAAACGCTACGACCATTTTTGTGATCGATATTCGGCGAGAACGATCGATGAAGTACAAGGCGCCACCGTCTCTGGGGGAAAACAGGACAACACAAAGGTCACCACGTGAAATTAATACCAACTCCGGATCATAGGTGGCGTTGATCACTAGAGCAAATTTGAAAGAGGCGGGAAAGGAGTTAGGAAACAGAGACTCACAAAAGATCTTAAAACGAGAAAAATAAGCGCTCTACCCTAATTTGGTACATACCAAAATCTTAAAAGTTAAAGCCCTCAGGCCAAAATTAACAAACGGCAGAAGGCCGACGCAACAATAGATGTTGGCTCAAATAGCTCACCCACGGAAGGGGAAGATACAAAATTAAAGGGGCAAGTTATAGAGGCCAAAAACCTGCCCTGTGTTAAAAATTTCGTAAACAAACAGAAAAATACCAGTCAAAGAACAAGGTAACGACTACCAACCAAGGTTGGAGTCACTAAAACCATATTGCACCCAAAGAAGAATCACTCGAGGTACCATTGGAACCATCACCCTTAGATGCCAAAATCAACCCACAATAAATGTCGCTCAACCCCTGTGAGTCCGTTCTAAAATTAACTGTGTCTGAGGAAGACGCAATGTGAAACATCTCTAAAAACATCCTTTTGTAATAGACATTTTGTTCCGTTTATTGTTTGTAGTACTCCCTGATGATGATTGAAATTACAATCGAAAGCTTGGATTGATTAAAGGAGGTTTTTTAATTTCCCCCAAAATTGGTTGCAGTCCCAATATCTTCACTTGATTCCTAACGTAGTACAACCAGTACTTCCACCCACTTTATTGCCTGTAATATTTTTATTACAACAACTTATGTTAGCATTAGGTGTCTTCAAAAAAATAACGAATAAAGAAAGGTGGCACCTAGACCTATCGAGGCAAAATCCATTTCATTTTTCGACTGGTTACGCTGCGTGTTGGTTTTTGCGTTGCGTCTTGGCTTTGCTTTATTCGACATTTGTGACTCCGTATTGTTTGGTTATACTGTTACTACTTCACATAATATTTCCTGTGTTATATAAGGTGTTAGTTTATTTCATTTAATCATTTTCTTTGTCTTTGAAGGTTGGTTTGCGTTTGTCATTTCTTTATTACTTAAAATATTCGTTGTATTATTTTTTTATTACTATTAGAATTAGGTATTTTGTTGCTTTTTTGACATTATTCTGTTAAGAATCTTCGTTTCGTTCCAATCGTTTCTTATTATCTTTTTATCTTGCTATTTTAGCACTTGTTTTTTATTTTATTTTAGCAATTTTTTTTTTGATTGGCTGAGCTGTTGATGGTTCATTATCTCCGTTATCCACATTGTTGCGTCTTGGTTTAGTTGTCATTTCACGTTTGTCGTTCCGTATTGTTTGTTTAGTGTTGTTATTTCTCATTATATATCTTATTTTATATTAATTACGTGTTAGTTGGTTTCATTAACACCTTTTATTTGTCTTAGAAAGTTTATTATACTTTCTTTATTATTTGAATTTTTCATTGCGTTATTTTTATTATCATTAGAGTTAGTTACCTTGTTGCTTTTGTAACCTTATTTCGTTCAGAATCAATTGTTTCTTATTAACTTTTTAATTTGCTATTTCAGCACTTGTTTATAGTTCATTCGTTTCTTTTATGATTTCTTTCTTAATTCTTTGCGTTAGTTGCGTTCGCAGGTTTTATCTAAAAATCTGACCTTTCATAGACTCAAAAATGAAAGGAAAAAAAGGCTTTGATATTGACTCATTTGTTGATGAATTAGTGGTTATTATAAAAACGGGCAAGGGTTTCTTGTCTGATTTGGAAAAAACCCCAAAACGTTCGGGAGTGGACATATATTCTCTGTTGTGCAAAGCGTTGAAAATAAAGGATACATATATAAATAAAATAGGTTTATTTACCAATGTTAAAAGAAAGTATACGTTTATTCTATCAAAATATAATAACATTGAAATAAAAGAAAGATCCACTAATGCAAATGAAACTGTAATACTAAATAGTAAACGTTCGTCGCCAACTATATCGCAGCTACTTGTTTCTAACGTTTCATTATTTAGTAATATTCATGATAGATTAGATGGAGAACATTTATCAGAATCCTCTACTGATTATGAAACCTTTATAAGTAAGGCACAGCTACCGACATTACAGGTGGAGCCGTGTCAATATAAAAAACCGACCACAATCGATCAAGTCGTGCAAAACAAAACAGATTTCAATCTGAAAACAGAACATTTAATATATGTTTTTGATCAAAGTTGGCTTCACCACCAAAAAAGGAAATTAAATTTAAAGAAAATATTAATTCAGTTGGGAATTACATGCGTGATTATATTTAGAGGTTCACGTAGCAATACTAACGGTGATTATACTCACGTTATTTAATATGGTAAGTGCAAGCACGAACCCTGCAGAAAACTCAGATTTGAGTACATATTCATTGATAAATCTCTAAACATTGTTATTAAGTACGATAAAAAAATAACTAATCATAAGACGCAACATACCTACCAAGTTTGTAACATCGAAAGACGACAATATAAAGAAAAACTTGAGAGAAACTCAGCGTACTTAATCAGAATGGAAGACTTAAATAATATCGATGACACTATAGCAAGAGATGGTAATATGCAAATCGTAAGGTCACTACCCGTTTATCAAAAAATCAAAAGTGAAGGGAAAAGTGATACAGATTTTCAACTTGATGATTACACTGACATTCTGCTAACGGCCCTGCATGAAAACCTAGATGACAATAAATATATTCAATTTCCTAACAGTAGAGTTTTAGTATATCTCTTTTGCAAAAATACTATAAATAGTACAGTGCCGAAAGGAAATAAAATAAAAATATTTTTTGATGCAACCGGTTCACTGGTACGTCCTTACGTCACAGAAAAGGGCCGTCGTGTATATTACTATGCTGGAGTTGTAAATGTGAAAAGTCAAATAATCCCTATTTTTGAATTAATCTCTTCCATGCACGATGCCGTAACAAACTCTTCCTTTTTAAGTCATTTTAAAAACTTTGTCATTGCAAGGTGTCATCGAAAATGGCCTATAATTTCTGAAATTGTGACGGATTGGAGCTTTGCTTTAATCACAGGTGTTTGTCTCGCTCTCAATAATATGAGGTTATATGAGTATTTAAAGGTATGTTATAAATATGTGTGCGATCAAGACCAGAGCATACGCGACATTATTATTTTAAGAACATGTGTCGCTCATTTCATGAAGACGATGTCAAATTACCTACATAAAGCAAAAATTAATAAATTTGATACCCTGTTGGAAATAATTCACGAGCACACCCTGTACAATCTGAACGCGTGAAGATAAGTCCATAATATTTGCGGAGCACAAAGGTTTACTGTAGACGAGTTTATTCAGGGAGTTTCGAGTTGTTCCGTCGCGGCATTGTTGTCTGAGCCACCCTTCCAAGTGGAACATTCCGTCGCTATGGAGACCGAAGTGGATGGAAAATACCGGTCGTTTTTAGTGTGGTGTGAGGAACGAGGATCGCGCTCTTGTGCTCAGCGCTTTAGCGTCGTGTGTGTCCTCCTCAAGACAACTTGGAGCTGTTTTGCCACCGGCATGGGAAGGCGCACTCACTACGCGAACTGTCCACCGTACAGTTCGCGTAGTTTGGTAGATAGTGGACCGCGAGCGCGTCGTGCCATACAGCGGATTCCAGTAACACCCGAGCACCGCAGCATACGTCACGAGTGGGTCGACGCTAGGCATTAGTAGGTTGCCGAGTAGAGGGACATTTTGTTTTCCGACGAATCAAGATTCGAATTGAGCACCGGTGATGCGCGAATTTTAGTTCGTCGGAGCCGTGGTGATCGTCTACTCGAGCAGTATGTGCAAGAACGCCCTATCCACCGACAACCGAGCATTATGGTATGGGGTGCGATTACACACAGGACATTGATAACATTAATAGTCTAACATGTAAGGAACAGTGGCGGCAAAAGGTAAACAAACAGCGGACTCATTTCGATAAAAGAAACTTGAAGCTTTTTTGAATAAACATATCCTATTAAATGACCTATTAAATGATTACAACAACGATACAAATTATTTTGAAGATCAAGACGATATTGACGATCCACCCAGTTGTCATGATACAGAACATAAACATATCCACCTACAAAACAATTCGAACACCAAAATAGCTTGTTATGAAGATGATCTTGACGATCCATCTAATTTTCATGATATAGAATATAACTCATCATCCTCATCATTTTACAAATCAAGCACAGTGCCATGTTATATGAACGGACTGATATCTAATAATGAATATTACTTGAAAGCAATAATAAATCAAAATTTACAAAACACCCAACATTTTTGATTGGAATATACAAGTATCGTAACACCAGTATTAAATTAATGAGCGACGATTTTTTACGGCTACATTCAATTAAAAATTCTACAATAGTTAATTCAAAAACATTAACAGATAAGTGGTTGTCAGACTACTGCATCGATGCATTTGCGTTTTCATATTTAAAAAACATGACTAATTGTATTTATTACATAGATTCTGTTTCAGTACAATTTATGTTTTCCGGAAACGATTGCTTAAATTTAAAAGTATTTGTTGAAAATTTAAATAATTATAAGTACGTATTTATTCCATATAACGTAAACTCTAGTCACTGGATATTAATAGTTTTAAGTATGTCAGAAAAATTAATTTATTTACTCGATCCCGGTCAAACAAATACGGACAATAATATATTTAACAAAATTAAAAAGTTTTTCCACAGGTGTAATAAAACAAAAAGTCGTACTGAACAAATAAACATTAAAGGTTGGAAAATGGCTAAAGACCACAAATATCCTAAACAAACGGATAGCACAAATTGTGGAATATTTGTTATATATTTTATAAGCGTTATAAGAGAACGTGGCAATATTAATGATCTTTTTTATGAAAATAAACAATTGGATACAGAGGAATACCGGTTTGGGCTACAAACGTACTTGTTGGAAAATTCTGAAAATATTAAAAAGTACTGCCCTAGGTGTGGTCTCTATAACGAATCGCAATACATTTCTTGCAATCAATGTCAACGATGGTATCATTTTAAAAATTGTGCCAATATTCCACCAAACATGTCTTTTGAACAAGCGTCCCACGTTACTTTCATATTTACCTGCAATCTTTGTTCAATTTAAATGCTTTAATGTGTCTCAAAATTTAGAAAAGTGTCGTTCAAGTTTCATTAATAAAGAAGTAAAAGCCATATGAAAATTATAATTTCAAATCAAACTAAATATTGAATAAATTTTGAATATAATAATCTAGACC